ACAAGGTACTGTATTAGTTAGGACTCTTTAAGTTGAGAGCAACATGAAACCTAACCTAAAATGTTGAAATTATTGGCTCATATAACTAAAAACATCAAATAGGATGTTTTAAATTGCAAATAAAAGAAAACAACTCTCTCAAACTAGCTAAAATAAAATAATTTATTGTTTTACATAAAAGTTGCATTGGTCTCCAGAGTTGAGTAACAAAACGACTCACAAATGTCATCAAGGACCTAGGCTTAGTCCATCTCTTTGCTTGCCTTTCTTGGCATTTGTATCTTCATCTTCTGGTTTTAAGATGGTGGTGGAAGTTTCTAGATCACATCCAGAAATGGCAACACCCAGAGGAAGAAAGGGTCTCTCTCATACCATGTTTCTTTCTTAGCAGTGAAAAAAATATTTCCCAGGAAGCTTTTTGGAGTTACTCATAAGAAAGTCAGGAGTGGGATGCTTACTTACTGGATAAAAATGTACCCTTCTTTCCTGATAATGAATGCAATTCCCGCCACTAACAGTTAGTTAACACTATGTACTTCTGTTCTTGAGAGGAAACGAAGTCTATGATTTGTTGAATGTAAAATGATGATCTGCTCTGTAAACCTTCACTCAATTCACAATAAAAAGTTTTTTTTTTTTTTAAAAAAAAGCTTTTTGGACATCTTCCTTTCATGTCTTATCTGTCAGGATTGGGTCACATGCCTCTTTTCAAACCACCACTGGCTAGGGAAATGGAAGTACTATGACTAACATAAACTAGGAATGTTTTATATTTGAGACAAGGGATATAGATCAGTTTCCTCCAAGGCACAGGGGAAAGTGTAGCTACAGGGGCAAAACAAGAGTTCTATTAAAAGGGGAAAATAATGGACAACATCTAGTGACCACTGCCTGTTGGTAAGATTTGATCTAGAAGTTCTGCCCTCCTCCATGTGTCTGCTTTGCCCTGAGGCTTCCCCCCCCCCACCCCCAATGTTTGTGGTGATGTTGCAGTAGTTTTAGACTTCGTATCATCCAGAGCTTGAGAGAAAGCAACCTTTTCAGTAACTTCAATAGAAAAGAAGATTCTTTCTTTATAAAGTCCAACAAATTTTTTTGAGTTGTGTTGTCTTGAATTATGAGTTACTTATTAACTGATTTTTGCCTTAATCAGGATTCATTCTCAATGGAACTGAGGATGGGGTCTCTTCCACCAAACCACCCTATGGTTTAAGATGGAAAATGCTTTTTCAGAGTCAGTAAAACACATGTAAATATTTTTACTTTCAGCCAGTATCTACCTGACATCCCTTGTTTCACATCCTTTTCTGAATCTGGCCTGAATTTCTGGTAGTTTCCTGTTGATGGACTGCAAACATTTTTTAATTTTAGCAGCAGCATTTTGCTTACATGTGATATTAATGATATTGTTTAATAATTTCTACATTCTTTTGGATCACCTTTCTTTGGAGTCAGCCCAAATAAGGATTTCTCCCAGTCAGTTAGCAAGATAGGCATCTTCCAAATTTCTTGGAATAGATGAATGAGCACCTTTAGTGCTGCATCAGTTTGTTGAAGTATTTCAATTTTTATTTGTTCAATTCTTATAATCTAGTTTTTCACCAATGTTTTCAGTATAGCTTGGACTTCTTCCTTCAATACTGTTGGTTCTTGATCATATGCTACTTCTTGAAAGGGTTAAACATCAACCAATCTTTTTGGTACAGTGAGTCTGTATTCCTTGCACCTTTTGATGCTTCCTGTCTCATTTAGTATTTAGCCCATTGTTGGTTTTGCTAGGTATTGTTGAGTTGGTTACAGCTCATAGTGACTATATGCATAACAGCATGCAACACTGTCCGGTCTAGTGCCATCTTTACGATTGTTACACTTGAGTCCATTACTGCTTTGAAAATTTCTATTTAACTTTTTTACTTCATCATTTTTTTCTTTTTGCCTTAGCTACTCTGTATTCAAGAGCAAGTTTGAAAGTCTTCTGACATCCATTTTGGTCTTATTTCTTTTTTTTCTGTCTTGTTAATGATCTTTTGTTTCCTCATGTATGATATTGTATATGTTATCCTACAACTCATCTGATCATCAATTATTAATGCTCAATCAGTTGAATCTATTTTTTTAGTTGGTATGTAAATTCAGGTGGGATATAGGCAAAGTCATACTTTGGCTCTTGTGGATTTGTTTTAACTTCTTCACTTTCACTTGAAGCTGGGATATACAAATTCAAATTAATGTTGAAGATAGGTTATTTTCAAGCCTTGGCTTTTTCTTTTTACCTCAATGATTTTTTGATGTCCAGGAAATAGTGTTCATTTCTCTACCCACTTTTCCTCAATCTTGGAGCTTCAGTTTTATTGAAGTAATTGAGACACATTGCTTGTGTGGGTGTATCTGAACAGCTGTTTTTTTCCTTACCTGAAATGTCCTTCCCTCTTTCCTTTACTCATTTACTTAGTCCTGCTTCTAATTCAGGTGCAGGAGTCATCTTTTCCTGAAAGCTTTACCTGAACCTCTTAGATGCTCTTTCTTTAGGCTCCTTTGAAACCGTGTGTCTATTTTTGCTCTAGAGCATATGTCTTTATACTAAATTGATCTTACTAAATTCACATTTTTGCCTGTCCCTATAGACTGAGTTTTCAGAGGACATATAATGTGCTTTATTTATCATTGATTCTGTAGTCTCCGGTTCAAAATCTGACAAGAGTACTTGTTGTTAAGTGCTGGTGAGTCAATTTTGATTCATAGCAACCCTGTATAGTGTTTACAAGGAGTGACTGGTGGGTTTGAACCACTGACTTTGTGCTTGTAAGCACCTCACCAACTCACTGTCTTAAGTTGATTCAGACTTATGTCAAGCCTATGCATGGTTTCCAAGACTGTAACTCTTCACAGGAGTAGATGACCTCATCTTTCTCCAGCAGAGCCACTGGTGGATTTGAACTGTTGACATTGAAGTTAGCAGTCCTGTGCTTATCCTACAGTGCCACCAGGGCTCCTTTCAGGCCTGAGTACTAGACATGTTATTTTACAAAGGCCTTTTAAATTCAGAACCATTTTGATATAGCCTAAAATGCAATTCGAGAAATAATTGCACTCAGTTTCTGAACTTCATGAGTACGGAGGTGTGAAGACTCAAGTTTCATGTTGTAGTTTGGAATGATGTAAAACTCAGGGATAGAGAGAGAGGGGTGCCAGTGAGCGATGAAATAGGATCCAGGAGTAAAGATAGGACTAGCAATACCTATGGTAAATATTAGTTGATAATAAATTTTTAAAAAAGTTTTATTTTGCTATAAAACAGCTATATTAAAATGTCAGTTTTTTGATTTGATACATAGAAGGTTATCAATAAATGTTTGTTGAACTTAATAGTTTAACCAATGACATGTTCTTTACCCTTCCTTCTTATCCTCTTTCATAATTTTGTATTTGACTTCACAAATTACCCATATTATGACTGACAGATTTAAGAGTAGCACTACAAATTTTAGTGAGTTGTAATTGACTTGATGACACCTGACAACAACAACAATAGGTATGATGAGTGCTGGTGTGGAAACTGTAGGATAAGCACCAGCTGCTAACTGCAAGGTTGGCAGTTCAAACCCACTAGCCGCTCTTCAGAAACCCTGTACAGTGTCACTATGAGTAAGAACTTACAGCACTTACCAACAGCAACAATAACAACATAGGTATCATGACCTTACCTTTGGGAATACAACCTTCCATTTCAGAATTTTAAATGGTATGTAACAGGAGGTTTAGCCTTATTGATGTTGAGGAACCCTGGCTTTCTGACAAGTACTGACTTTGTGAGCTTAGGCAAATTACTTAATCTTGTTTTGTTGTTGTTGTTGTTGTTGTTGTTAGGTGCTTTTGAGTTGGTCCTGGTTCATAGCAGCCCTATGCATGACAGAACAAAACACTGCCTGATCCTGGACCAACCCCACAATCATTGCTATGTTTGAACCCACTGATGCAGCCATTGTACCAATCCATCTCTTTGGGGGTCTTCTCCATTGTCTCTGACCCTCCACTTTTCCAAACATGATATTTTTCTCTAGTAACTGGCCCCTCCTGATAATATGTCCGAAGTATGAAAGATGAAGTCTGGCCATCCTGGCTTTCAAGGAGTACTATGACTGTACTTCTTCCAACACAGATCTATTTGTTCTTTTGGCAGTCCATGGTACTTAATCTTACTAGACTTCAATTTCATTTTGGTAGGCAATGTAAACAATAAGCAAAGAACATGGATTGACACACTGATTGTAAAAATTGGCTCAAACATAGCAACAATTCTGAGGATGGCACAGGTAACATTTTGTTCTGTTATACATAAAGTTGTTATGAATCAGAATCGACTCAACGGAACCTAAGAATAAGAAAATGAGAATAATAATGTACTTTATAATATTATTGTGAAGATTACTAATAATTGTAGAGTGCTAGCACAAGGCATGTTATCCATTACTGTTGACCAGATCCTAACTCATTATGATCCTGCAGGGCAAAATAGAACTATCCCATAGGAGTTCCAAGGCTGTAATCTTTACAGAAGCAAAATGCCACATTTTTCTCCTGCAGTGACTGGCAGGTTTATACTGCTGACCTTTTGGTTAGCAGCTGAACACTAATAACATTAGGCAATATGTGTTGGGGAGCCCTGTGCCACTAGGACTCCCCAGTACATGTTGCCTACTGCTCTTTAAGAGCTGTGGTATGGCACTGTAGAATAAGCACTGGACTGCTAACCACAACGTCAGTGGTTCAAACCCACCCACCAGTGGCTCCTTGCTATGTATCTCGATGCCACGTAACAACCAAAATGCTATTCAAAGAAAATATGTACCAGATTTTTCCTAACCAACATATGATGTAGCCACTTAACTAGTGAATTAGAGACAGTTTAATTCAATCAATTTCTAGTGAATACATTAATTAATGATCAGAATGTTTTCTTGATGGTATTTGATCTAAAATATGTATTGTTCTCTTTGCAGATTTTGTACTGTACTTTAAACACACCAAAAGTTGACATGGAAAAACTCTTAGGAGTACAAATCGGTCTTGAAGATTTCATTTTTGCCCATGTGAAAGGAATAAAAAAAGAAGTGAATGTATATAAATCTGAGGATTCACTTGGTCTTACCATTACAGACAATGGTGTTGGATTTGCTTTTATCAAGGTAGGTTTTTTTTTTTTTTTTTAAATAACTATGTGTTCTGAGAGTAACATGTAAGAAAAGCTAGTGTATCAAAGAAAGTTAAAAAAAACAAACCCAAAAAACATCTTCAGAGTGAGTCCCTCAGTAGTAAAGGATGGATTGGTAATATTGTACTTTAATTTAAAATGCTTCTAACATATCATCTCTTGTTCACCATCTTTTTGACTTTCTGAGCCTTCAGTTGAAACTTTCTCTGGTATTTAGAACTTACTGCAAAGGCAAATCTGACCCTGGTCTCTACTCATTGCCCATGTAAGCTCTTCCAGGTCTGTAGTTTATTGATGTCTGATAACTTCCATGTTGATTTCCACTGATACAGTATTACCTCCAACTGCATTTATTTTGGATTTCATTATTTAATACTTAAAAAAAAATGCTCTTCTGCATTATTCTTTATTTAAATGCAAACAGCAATGTACAGAGCTGTATAGGCAAGAAAAAGAAGTTTGAAAATGATGTGAAAAATTATAAGAGTTGTGGAATGGCAGAAAGAAACAAGCTCATCTCTTAACACTAACTGATGTGTTATTGTAACAACAATAGTACTTACCATGTACTCGGAGCTATGCATGTGTTTTTTCATGTAATCCTTGTGATAATATTATGCTTTTTTCTTTTTTACTTTTTATTTAGTTGTAACTAATGGTCAAAATTCACAAATTAAAAAAATTATGCCAATTCAACACTTTCCACATGTACATTTCAATGACATTGAGTTGTTTTTCCCACGTTAACATAAACTCACTGCCTTCTAAGTTTCCGATCTAATCTTTCAAGTTAAAATGTACACATTTTTAATGGACAGCTCAGTAAAAATTTATATATACACGTCTGTATAACTACTACCCAGATGAAAGTATAGAGCATTTGTATCTCCCTAAAAACTCTTTTGCATCCCTTATCTGTCAGTATTCTTCACCCCCTAAATATATGATTTGATCTTTATGACCATAGTTTTGCTTGCTCTGTATGCATAAGTGGAGTTATATATTATGTACCCTACTGTTTCTGGCTTATTTTTACTCAACAAGATGTCTGTGGTATTTATGCATGAGCAGATACTATTAGCATTTTTTCTGTGGCAGCTATAGCATCAGGATTAGAAAGGTCAAGTACCTTGTCCAAAGTTATACAACTGGACCAGTTCAGGATTTGAATCCAAGTGATCTTCCTCAAAACCAACATTCCTAACAATAATAATAAGAATGAATGTTAGACTTCATGCCAAAGAGCAAGTTTCATGTCTTTATTTAACTAAATTCTTCATTTTCTTTTACATTGTCACCGCTGAAGAAATAGTCTTGGGAACGTTATCTGCTTAATTGTGAATGGTACTTTATTTAACTTCCCACTTGATAGATTGGCTATTTTTAGCTCTGCAAAAGATATGACTGTGCTGAAGGTTGAGAAGGTGACCAAATGGAAAATCTGCAAGTTGGGAAAGTCACATGTGATTAACCAGGGGAAGCTCAGGTCATGAACACATGTAGCAATGCCTTTCTAATGTTAGCAGAGAAGGGCGTGGAAACTTTGCGAACATACTTGAATTTCCTAGACTTGTCCTCTGATGATCAAAGCTTGTGTTTCTATATTTTTAAAAGATGTATATTTTTAAATGTTGTGTCAAACATGTGCTTGCCTCAGAGTACTAGTCACTATCCCTGTGGAGACACAGTGAATATAGTGTCAAAGGAGAAAGTGGAGCATAAGTCAATTTGCCAACATATGGTTGAACTTAGAAGATAACTGAATATTATACTGTACACAAGATTAATATGATCAAAAATATGTTTTGGAAACAATTTTAGATTTATATAAAAGTACAATAATAATACAATGAACTCCAATAAGCTTTATCCAGATTCACCAATTTTTGCCATTTTGTAATATTGTTTTTATTATTCTTTCATTGCATTATGCCCATTCACTCTAGTCCTGGTGTGGCACTGTGGGCTAATGCATCAGACTGCAAAGTAGTTTGAACTGCAAGGTCGGTGGTTCAAGCTCACCAGTTGCTCCTTGGAAACCCTATAAGGGTCGCCATGGGTCAGAACTGACTCAATGGCACTTAACAACAATAACAACATTTGCTACTAATAAGGATTGTTATTGAATGTTAGTTTATTATTATGAATGAAGTTTGAGGACAGTGTTGGAAGGACCAACAACACAGATCTAAAAGTTGCTAAGTATGACTGTAGGGCATGTAACTCAAACAACCATTGTGTCTCCTGCTCAAGGTTTTGAGGAGGGTAAGATGAACCATAGGGTTCTGCTGATGTCTGTGATGAGAAGATGGAGTTCTGTAAATATATAGGATGAATGTTATGGAAGATATTATAATAATGATCTGCAATGGGACATTTAAGTTTATTAAAGTAAATTATTTCTTCCAAAAATATTTAATAATAAATTCTTTCTGCCCTTTGCAACATTAAGTTGGAAAGCCAAGTAAGAGGAAATTAATAAATGTTATAGAGAGTAATATAAATGTGACCCAGTAAATATAAGTAAAATTTCCCTTATTAATTAATATATCTTTTTTCTGCCTTTTAACCTTTTGTTGCTGAGTAGCACATTTATCAACATTATTAACCTCTAAATTATTGTTTATTAATCTTATTGTTTGGTTATTAAGTATGTTAGATTAGATTTCAGAAATTTGTCTAAGTTGCTACTTCATGTTGTAGCCCTTAGCAGACTACCCTTAGAAGGTTACCTATCCTTAAAAGGCACAGGAAATCCATAGAATGCGTATTCATTGTTCTCCAACTTTGGTTTCTATGTCCAGCTCCTTTTATGATGCCCTTCTGTAAGTTTCTGATATCATCCTGTCTCCTCATTCTAGATCTTTGATCTACTGCCTCTGATAATTACTTATGCTTTGAATTTTCTCTTGTGCCCATTTAGACTTCTCTCTGGTAACTGCCTTTTCTTATTCTGCCTGTATACCCTTCTGATGACCTCTGTGACTACTCACAGGCCTGGGAAACACTAGGTTCCTGTTACTCTGACTTTTAATTATCACTGATAAAGTTTGTTCCAGTCTTTAAAATCTTTCACTTTGTTAATTGTATATAATTCTGATTTCAAAGAAAATTATAACAATGTCTTAAAATTAAAAGTAATATATATGAGGACATTGAAATTTGTTTCTTATAGTTGATTAAACAATAAATTAGAATACAAATTAAGAACAGGATCAAAGTTATAGATTTTTTTTTCTTTAATTCTCTCAGTGGCTTAAGAATGGTTGTTTAACAGTATTTAATAAGTTTTATCATTTTAAAAAAGATACTTATTTAAATTGACATTTATTTTGCTATAACAGTTTAGAAACTTCAGTTTTACTGAGTAGTGTGTTGTGGTTACTGTTGTTTCTTCTAGCTATATAAGGCTAACATACATTTATAATAAAATAAAGTCAGATTTTGAAAGTGGTGGTTTCCTTGCTTTATATTTATTAGTGGTGACAAAATAAGAGGAGACTTTGTGGTGCAGTGGTTAAAGTACACAACTACTAGCCTAAATATCAGTGGTTTTAACCCAAAAGCACCTCTGTGGGAGAACGATGTGGCAGTATGCTTTGGTAAAGATTTCTAAGTTGAAAACCTACTGGGGTAGTTCTCCTGTGTCCTGTGGGGTTATTCTGCTATGTCCTGTAGGGTGGCTATGAGTCAGAACTGACTCAATGACACTGGGTTTGGTTTGAATTGGTTTTGGTGACAGATAATGTGCTCTGTTTGAAATGACATAATTGTGTTATTTGTATAAAGCAATTTAACAGTCGTCATAGCAACAAATACAGAAATATTCTTAAAATTCTGAAATAAAAAGAAACCAACAATGAATTTTGGCACATAATAATATAATTTAAATTAACTTAAAAATTTAAAAATGGCTGAAATGAAATGTAGTGCTGTGGGTTAATGTGCTGGACTGCAGTTTCTTCGAACTACAAGGTTGGTGATTCAAACTCACCAGCTGCTCCTTGGAAGCCCTATACAAGGTCGCTGTAGGTCAGAACCAACTCCACAGCAATTGACAGCAACAACCTTGCTAGTTTAGTCTTTTGCAGATTTTTTCCCCCCTTTTCCTGGTGACAATATGAGGAAGCTTCAAAAAGTTTGTGGAAAAATGGAATTAAAAGATAATGGAATTTCTCTATGAACTTTTGAAACCCGTCATATTAAGGAGATGTTTGGGTACATCAGCTCTGAGTCTGTTTCTCTAATAACACTCAGATACAGGATACCCTGTTGATTCAGAAGATATTATGGCTCCCACCTTCCAAGGGTATGAAATACACATAATGCTTTACACAGTAACAGCAGTCCCTTCTATCTGATCATTCCTGTAAAGAATTTTGTAGCTCCTGAGGCAGATTGTGGCCTTCATGTCTGACTTCTCCTCATTGTGGAAGAACTTGTATATCCTTCTTTAGGGCTGTTACCCCTGCAGAAGTTTCTGGAGCAATGATCACAAAGATCCTTTCAGCAATTTTTGGTACCATCTTGATGAGATAGGCCTTATTTTGGGACTCTGAATTTTAGATGTGATGTGCATATAAGAAAAATTTAAGAAAGGTCAACTTGAAGTTTCTCTGTAGGTTCTAATTTGCCTTACCTACGTAAATAAAAAATGACAGTGTTAAATCACACTTGCTGGCTCCCAAAATGGTAACTATACCTGTCTCTCATTTGGTATTAGTCTTAGCTAATATTGTACCATTTTCTGCATCTTTATATTTATAACTAAGGTTTAGAAAATGTAGTATGAAAAACTCAACCTCTGTTCTACATACTGGGCCTCATGTTGAAATTATTCACAGACCATTTATGGAATGACTTTTCCATGGCATGCATTGTCTTAGGCACTGGGCAAACTGTGGTGAATGTCCTCAGGGAAATTACAATTTAGCATAGAGACTGGGAGATACATGAACAATTACAGTGTGGTATGTTGAAAGATGGCACTTAACAACAACAACATGTTGAAAGATGAGACTTTCTGCTCCTGTACAGATTTATAGCCTCAGAAACTCCACCCAGGGTCACTATCCGTCAGAACCAACTTAACAACAACAGCATGTTGATTTAGGAGTCCCTGGGTGGTACAAACAGTTAAGCACTCCATGACTAGTCAAAAAGTTTGTGGTTCAAACTTACCCAGAAGTGCCTTCCACGACAGACCTGGTGATCCTAATGTTCATACTGTTGAAAATCCTATGGAGCAGGTTCTACTTTGCACACATGGAGTTGCCATGAGTCAGAGTGACTTGATGGCATTTAACAATAAATGTTAAACTTGGGCAAGTGAATTGATCTTGCCAAGCCTCAATTTTCCTCATTTGTGGTGTGAGAATCTCATAAAGGTTGTTAGAGTTAAATGAGATAGTGAATGTAAAGTGCTCATTGTAAGTAGAAAAAGTACTGTAGAACATTAGAGTTGCACCTTGCCCTGTCTTGGGGTGGGAGGAGGTTGGGGAATATTAGGAAAAGCTTCCCAGAGGACATGGAACCAAGATTGAGGTTGAGTTTGAATGATAAGGAAGAGATGTGGTGAGATGGTTGTCTTTTGTCTTTTGTTCTTTAGTCTCCTTCTTTAACTGAGCCTGAATTTTCAAGCCCCATGAGCTTGAAAAGTAATGTTATATACTTCTATTTTATATTCTGTGTTACAGTTAATTTTCTTTCTTTCAGAGAATCAAAGATGGTAGCATTATAGACTCAGTTAAAACAATCTGTGTGGGAGATCATATTGAGTCTATAAATGGAGAAAATATCGTTGGATGGCGTCATTATGATGTTGCTAAGAAGCTAAGAGAATTAAAAAAAGAAGAACTATTTACTTTGAAGTTAATAGAACCTAAGAAGACATTTGGTGAGTGTGTATGCCTGTCTCTCTGTCTGAAATACTTCAATTTCTAGTTTATCTTTTTGAGGGATGTGTGTGTTGGATTGCCACATACCAGTATATAAAATATCAGTTAGGAACACAGAAAATGATGGACAGCACTTCTTACATAAAAAAGAAGTATTAAAGGAAGATAAAGAGAAAAGAACTTGCCTTGTAGAGGACATTTTCTTACAAAGACATTTGGAATAAGGAAGTCCAATGTCTGGTGGCTTTGAATTTGGTCTGCCACCACTCTCTTAAGAACAGCACATTGCATTTCACTCATTTTGTTGAACAGGACAATTGTTGATTAAACTTGTAGTACCATAATAACTGTGTTTTATGGACCTCAACAACAAAAAATTCAGTTATACATGGAATTGATATTTAATATAGTTATCTATTTTAAAGAACTCCTTCACCAATATTTTTCCTCCATTGGAATTTTTAATTCAGCAACATGGGATGGTATGAAATTACTTCCACTCTTGGTGTGACATCTATACATAGCAGCTGTATCCCAACTGTTGTTCAAACCTCCAGGGCCGTCTCCTCTACAGAAAAATGTGTCAACTTTTCACTCATTTCCCAGCACTATTTTAATGAGCACAAATGATGGCCTACTGTTTATCAGTGTTAAAATATCTTCGGCAGGAACATTCCAGACCTGCCCATTTCTATCCACAACCCCATTCACCCTATGGTCTTTCGTTTGCTCACAGAAATAAATCTTCCTTATACAGTAAACCTGTGAAAGCAGAAACCTGTCAGAAAAAGAAAACTCAAGTATTTTCCACAAAAAGAGAGAGAAAACTCATGAGAACTGAAAAAACAAAGTTCTGATTCTCACAGTTTTCATGGTGGTTTGTTTCTAATAGGCTTTCTCATGATCATTATTTTCTCTTCCTTAAGCAAACAAGCAATAGATCCTGACCATGTGGAAATGGAAAATTTTCTCAGCCCAAGTGATATTGTGCCATTTAGTAGATATACATTATGGGTTATATTACCTGTGGGAGACAGAGTTCCACAGAAGATATATATATATATATATATGTATAAAAGGATGACTTATGTTAGTGTTGCTCCAGGAGGGACAACTTTAGGAGCTATTGCTACAGTTCCAAGGTTGTGAAATATACCTCACAGAAGAGGGCAGACAGAGCTCAGGTTTCTGTCTAGTAGCTCATTCTGAAACGTAACAATTAACAGCAACAACATATGCAGTTGATAACAGCCATGCTTGCTGGAAGTGAAGAGGACTTGAAATACATACTCATGAAAATACAAGACTGCAGGTTCTAGTTTGGATAACACCTTAATTAAATCATGATAAATGGAGAAAAGACTGAAGTTGTTGAAGACTTCATTTTGTTTGGATCTGCAATTAACACTAATGGAAGCAGCAGTCAATAAATCAAACTATGTGTTGCATTAGTCAGATATACTGCAAATGACTTCTTTAAAGTGTTCAAGAGCAAAGATGTTACTTTGAGGGGTAAGGTATGCCTGAACCAACCCATGGGACTTGCCTCATATGAATGTGAAAGTTGGACAGTGAATAAAGGAAGACCATAGAAGAATTGATGCTTTTGAATTATAATGTTGGAGAATATTGAAAATACCACGGACTGCCAAAAGAATAAACAAATCTGTCTTAAAAGAAGTGCAGCCAGAATGTTTCTTAGAAGCGAGGATGGCAAGACTTGGTCTCTGGTTCTTTGGACGTGTTTTCAGGAAGGGCTAATCCCTGGAGGAGGACACCATGTTTGATAAAATGGAGGATCAGTGAAAAGAGAAAGAACCACAATGAGATGGATTGACACCATGGCAGTAACAATGAGCTCCAATGTAACAAAAATTGTAAGGATTGTGCAGGACTGGGTAGTGTTTCATTCTGTTGTGCATTTGGTTGCTATGTGTTGAAACTGACTTGACAGCACCTAACAACACCAACACATCATTACATAACTGCCGAATTACATCATTATATAACTGCCGAATTACATCATTATATAACTGCCGAATTACATCATTATATAACTGCAAAACCATGAGTTATATGAGAATCATGGTCTAGTCAAATAGACACATAACCTTAACCACACAGAAAGCGTTAGTCTCACCTGCATCTTAACATTTGTTACTACCCAACACATGCTATTAATGTGCCAAATAGTTGGATAATAGATTTTTTTTTACTGTTTTCACATATGCAAAATATTGGATAAGGAGATAGTGTACAAACTGATAAAAAAAATATTCTTTTACTTTGTATTTGTAAGTCCAAACCATTTTTCAGTGCAACTTAGTAATTACAATTTTTCTCCACATTGACCTCATCCACATAATTTATTTCCCAGAGTTAATACTTTTCCTACTTTCTCTTTGTACGAAGTTGCTAATACACCTTAACTTGAATGTTAGGTTGTTAATAGTCTTGGAGTCTTGGATGATATAAAGATGATTGTATTTAGCTAGTACTATTTTGTGATTAAGGAGTTCTGGTAATGTTGTGGTTACGAATCGGGCTGCTAACATTACGGTTGGCAGTTCAAAACTACCAGCTGTTCTGCGGGAGAAAGATGAGGCTTTCTGCTCCCGTAAAGATTTGCAGCCCCAGAAACCCTGTGCAGGGTCACTATGATTCGGAACTGACTCCATGGTACTTAACAACAACAACAACGTTCTGTGATTAGGAGGACTAGGTGGCACAGTGGGTTAGTTATTGGGCTGATAACTGCAAGTTGAGTGGTTCAAACTCAACAGCAGCTCCATGTGAGAAAGATGAGACTTTCTGCTTCTATAAAGATTCAGAAACCCTATACAGTGTTGCTATGTCAGAATCGACTTGATGGCAGTGGTTTTGGGTTCTTTGATTAGGAGGACCTCGTGGCACAGTGGGTTAAGCACTCAGTTGCTAATTGCAAGTACCATGGTTCATACCCACCAATTACTCTGCAGGAGCAAGGTGAAGCATCTGCTCCCATAAAGTTTTACAGTTTTAGAAACCTCATGGAACAATTCTACTCTACCTTATAGGGAACTAACAACTTGATAACAGTGATCAGTGGTTTCCATGATTGGAGACCCTGCGTGGTACATATGGTTATTGCATTCAGCTGCTAACTGAAATGTTGGAGATTCAAGTCCAATCAGAGGAACCTCAGAAGAAAAGCCTGGTTGTCTACCACCAAAAAATCAATCATTGAAAACCTTATGGAGAATAGTTCTAGTCTGACATGCATGAGTAGGGATTGCTTTGAAGGCAGTTGGTTAGTGGAAGTTAATTCCACTATTAGACTTTTTTCCCATCAAATTGGAGGCACTTGTATAGATGATTCATTGCCTTATCTACCTGGCTGCTGTTGAACCTGCCCTTTGTTGCATCATATGAATGCCATGAACATTATTTGTGAGGACACTGGGGATATGTTATTTTAGCATCCTAAATTCTGGTGATGATGGGCGTTAGAAGGCTTGAAGGCTCCAAAAGGAGCAATGGTAGGCTTTTATTTGCCAAGGTTTCTAGGTAAATTCAACTCAGTCTGTTGACCTGTATGCATTTTCTTTGCTGGATTGATCTTTAACTCTGGAAGCGAACCTGGAGGTTTCTCTCTTAGAATTAGGTCTTAGTGCCCTGCTTATCTTTCAGCCTTAATTTTGCCACTTATCTCTCTTGCTTCTAGAATACAGGCAAAGCTAATCTGTCCTTCTTGCCCTAGCTTCTCTAGTCCTTAGCTCTTTTTCATGGAGGGAGTGCATATCAGAAGGCACTTGGGGAGTCAGTCTGCCCTAATTCTCATATCTTATCTTGGTCCTAATAATCTATTTTGCTCTAGCCCCTCATTTCCTGTGTTTTCTAGCATTATCTTTGTCTCTGGCCAAGAATTCAATATTTGTCTTTGTTGTTAGGTGCCATCGAGTAGGTACCGACTCATAGTGACCTTATGCACAGCAGAATGAAACACTGCCCAATCCTGGGCCAACCTTACTACTGTTGCCACACTTGAGTCCATCGATGCTGCCACTTGGCTAATCCATCTTGTTGGGTGGTCTTCCTCTTTTTCTCTGACCCTCTACCTTCAATATTTGTAGTTAGTGATTATTTGACCCTCTGTCATCCTTGATTGCTACCAGAAGAAAGGACCACTCTAAGTGATGTAAAAATTTCTCCTCTCTGTATTCAGACCTTGGCTGAAGCTAAATCATTTCCAGGATCTTACCAAAAATTGACAGGAATGGCCAAAACACACTAGTATATAGTATTTTGACATCTTCCCTAAAGATTTAGCCTGGGGAGGATTGAGAACTGTGTCCCAAAATACAAGGAGTAGTGTTAATTGTTTTTCAGTTGTATCACAAGGACTATGAGCACAAATTCTCAGCAGTGGATAGGGGAAATCCTTATTGTCTGTTCCAGTTTCCCTATTATAGGTCCATCATTAGTCACACCCAACTCCCATAGATCATTATATGTGTCAAGATAGAATACACACTGGACTGTGAACTACAAGGTTTACAGTTCAAGCCCACTAGATGTTTCCCATGAAAAAGATGAGGATTTTTGCTCTTGCAAAGATTTACAGTCTCAGAAACCCTATACAGGGTCACTGTGAGTCAGAACCGACTTGATGGCACTTAAAACAACAATTTGAGGAAAAATGAATTTATTGGAGTTTGTCTCGAAACAAGTATAGAGTGGATTTGTGAAGATGAGGAACTAAAACCATTCCAGGGATTCATGCACTAGGAGCCCTTCATTGTACTGATTTAATCAACACCCTCCAAATAGTTTCTAACTTCATGTTAATCCACTGAGTATTTAAATTCCCAGGGTAGAGGTGGGAGCTGAGTGTTTCATATGCCAATCTTGATAGTGTGCCATGTAGGCTACATGAGGGACAGGTTCTGAAAATCACACCCAAAATGAGGGAGAAGTTTCCTTTTGTAAAGGAAAAAGTAGCAGGTGTCCATTGTCATGA